AAAAAATTTTTTTTGACAAAAAGAGGCAACTGGCAGATTTGACCTGCAGACTGTAGACTGCCAACCTCAGATCTATACATAAGCCCAAATGACTGCCTTTGTGCCATTCTGATTATTATTAAGGGATGTCCTGGGCTTCCTCCACTTGTATTTAATTTAATTGAACATGCTGTGTATTAGTCATAAAGTACTACTCAGTTAAAATTCTCCATATTTACTGAATTCTGTTTTTCTCCCCTTGCCCTTATATGTCTCTTTGCTTTCTTGCATGATTTGTACATTGGCAAAAAAAAAAAAAAAAAAAAATATTTACAACGGATGTTAGCTCAGGGCTAATCTTCCTCACAAAAAAAAAAAAAAAAAAAAAAGATATTTACTTTCTTGGTTGCTCACTGTTTATTAGTGGAGCAGTTCTAATACGACAAGTAAAAAAGGTAATTGGTTATTGTCAATGATTGTCCTCATTCTAGGAAGCAGATCCTGCAAATGCATACTTAGAACTTCCAAAGATCATTAGTAATCACATCAATGAGGTAGGCTTCCATCAGGGGTAACTGCATGTTAAAATTCTGGTCTTGTAATTTCAGAGTTTAAAGAAGATTGCTCTTTTATGAGTACTTCTATAAAAATATCTCTCGAAGCAAGTCAGTGCATACCTCAAACTTTTTAGGATCTTCTTTCTGTTCAAAAACCACTTAAACGTTTACCAAATGTTTAGGTAAGTCATGGGGCTTGGAATCCATCAGAAGTTGGCTACATGCTCTGAGCTGTGATGCAATCTGTTGCTTCTTTTTGCCGACTTGAGCTAGTGCTTCTGTACTTCTAATGAGTGTTGTGGAGATTAAATGAGGGCACCAAGAAAGCTAGGTGATAAGTGCTTCTTCGAAGCTGAGGGTAAATTGGGAGGAGAACTAGTCTTGGTCTCAGAAGCTCCCAGCTCTTGTACTGAGCCTGCCTCAAGTTCACTGAATGGCTCAGGACAAGTCATATCTTCCTAGGGCTCAATTTCCTCACTTCTCAAGTGGGCAAATAGGACCAGATCTCTGATAGTCCTTGGACATCTCTGTTTCAGCAATGTCTTCTATCCAAACTCGTGGAGTGGCCCTCTTATTACCGACCAAATAGCATGGGGGAGCAGTGTTTCTTAACTTTTTTTTCATATAAAGGAGTCTTTTTAGACATTTTTCCCCCTGATTGCAACCTCCCTCCCCCGCCATGTAGCCTTCACCCAGTTTCCCCTATGGTAATGTCTTACATAACCATAGTACAATTTCAAAACCAGAAAGATGAATAATGATCAAATTTGGGTTGAGATGCCAAAAAATATACAAATTAAAAAATGCTGGCAGACTCTACATTTTCAACTTTCCAGACCCTACCCCGCAAAGACAACTAAGTCTGGTTTCTGCCCCTAAAGCCTTGTAGCCTCATAAGACATCCATAGTTTAGAGAAAAAAGTCTCTTATGTACTGTTGGTTCAGGAGAAATGAACGAGTGGAGGAAAATGCTAGCCCTAATAATGTTTCCTTATTCTTTCACTCAAAAACTTTTAATAAGCCTTTATTGTGTTCAAGGAATGGTAACAAAAGAATGTTTATAAATATCTAGAGTGATTCCAGATCGTGTCCTCAGATGCTCCACTCTCAAGGAGGAGGAACATAACTCCCACTCTTTAGATGTGGGCTGCATACAGTGACCTCCTTCTAGAGAGGACAGTTGGAAAGGGGGGAGGGGAGAGTAACTCTACGGGGGGGAAACCTGATAAACATGACCTCAGCCAGGTGATCAAGGTCAACATCAACAGTGATAAGTCATGGTGATGGTAGATACCCTTGATATGATGTGATGAAAACAACACTTTACCTCTGCGGTCTTTTTCCCAAACACTCATAACCCCAGACTAATCACAGATATCGGAGAAATCTCAGTTGAGGGACATTCTACAAAATACCTGATCAGCACTCCTCAGAAAGTCATGGTCATCAAAAACAAGGAAAGTCTGAGAAATTGCCACCGTCTGGAGGACCTAAGGAGACATTGAGACTAAATGTACTGTGGTGTCCTGGATGGGATCACAAGACAGAAAAGACATAGGGGAAGTTTGAGTATATGTGAATAAACTTTGGACTTTAGTTAATAATATTGTATGAATATTGATTAGTCTCAGAAGAAAAACAGGAGCCTCTCTAGAAATCTGACTGCAATAATTCTTTCCAACAAAGGAATGTTTTTTGCAGACTAGTGTTTTAACTAACATTCTCTCTTTTACCAAGTTTAAAGGGACTCAGGGATAACATGGGTGATTGAAATCTAGAACAAACCCAAATCCTTAATGATTATATTCAGCTTTTGTCCTCCTCCATTTTCTCCCCAAAGAGAATAAGGTAGAACAAAAAAGTCCCCAAGGATGGAGAGAAGTTTCTAGAACCAGACTGCCTCCACCCTTTACTGGTTTTACAGACAATTTCCTCAACTTCTCAAAGCCTCAGTTTCCTTATCTTAAAATGGGGATAATAATGCCTTCGCTACAGGCTTTTAAACTCGATGTATGATCACTTCTTGATCCATAGTGATTACTTAATATCGTTTACCTTACTCCACTGTGTCTCAGTTCCTTCCACTGTAAAATCACTAATATTAGTACCTACTTCAAAGTTCAAGTTGGATAACATATGCAAAAGGCTTGGTCAGTGCATGATATCTATTAAATATTTAATAAATACATATTAGCTTTCATTATTAAATTTTTATCTCTGCAGCTCTTGGTAGAAATACATATTAGCAGTTGACTCCAAAAGTCAAATAGTAGAAGAAAATGCTATAGAGCAGTGGTTCTTAACTGGGGATGATTGTACCCCGGAGACATTTGGCAATGTCTGAAGACATTTTTGGGTGTCACACTTGGAGGAGAGCGTACTGTTGGCATCTAGTGGGAGAGGCCAGGGATTTCTACTATACATCCTGTGATGCACAGAACAGCACCGACCCCATCTGTAACAAAGGATTATCCAGGCCCCAATGTCAATAGTGCTGAGGTTCTCCAAGTGGTTCTCCAAGTCTGCTCCATAGACAAGCAGCATTGGCACGACCGGAACTACTTGAGATGCCAGTTCTCAGGGCCCACCCCAGAACCCCAGAATCAGATACTATGGAAGGTAAGGCCCAGCAACCTGTGCTTTCATAAGCCCTTTGGGTGAATGTGGCCCTCCTCAGAGTTTGAGAAGCACTGGGGTAGCACATGAGATGGCGTTGAGACGTAGAAATTCCACTAACTGATTAATCTGTCTAGGAAGGACTGCATTGCTCGCATCCCAAATTCCGTCTGGCACTACTAGTAAAAGATCATTTTTTTCAAAGATAGTATAGAATAATTCAGAGAGGAAAACTCCTGAGTTTAGTAATTACTTAGGCGGAAAAGTTATCATAGATTGCTAACTGGTGAGTTAAACATACACCCACAGATGATTAAAAAAATTGGAAGAGGCAAAGTAATTGGCATAATTTGTACAAGAAAGGCAAACTGTTCAATTTTAACAGTTAACATGATTATTAACAATTTTAACATTTTAAACAAGCATTAAAATGATTAGGTTATATTCAAGGAACATGGGGGTTGTTGATTATTACCCAACTGCCAGTACTATTATTTTATGTATATTTATAACCATCCACTCATTCACTCCCTGAACCTTTTTTGAGCACCTACTATTTTCTAGGTACTATTCTAAGCAGTGGGGATGGGAAGATACTATATTTTTCAGCCCCTAAAGCAATAGTTCTCAATCCTGGCTGCAGTTTACAACAACCGAGGGAGCTTTTAAAAACTACTAATGCCCCAAGTGGGGCTTCTAGAATGCTGGTTATATTTGTTTTTTAACCTGAATTGTGGTTATGCTGGTAAGTCCACTTCGGGACAATTCAAAATGCTGTACATATATGATTTGTGAATTTTCTATATATGTATGTGAACTTTCTATAAATATATTTCAATTTAGATTATTTTAAGAAATGCCAATGCCTGAGTCTTACCCAAGATCATATCACGTATATTAGAAACTTCAAGGGTAGGACTCAGTCACTGGCTTTTGGTTGTGTTTTAAATATGCCATGGTTGACCACAATGGCAATGCTCAGTCATGCTAGGTGAGAGTGACTGATGTTGCACCAATGGAGTAAAAATTCAGTTTTACAAGGGACCTCAGTCAATGTTTGCTTGCTCCTTTCTTCTGTCAGTCAAATTGGGAAAATAGTTTGGTTATTTCCTTAACTGTATGCTCTCCATTGGGCGTACAGTTGGAGCATCTCCTAAATAACTGGAAAATATGACAACACCAGGCCCTTTTCCATATGACAACAGTCAGCTCAAACAGAGGAGCAGCTGCTCCTTAGAGTATCAGCTCCCCAGTTCTCAACAGACCCCACTACCCCTACTTTCTTCCCAACGTGAGGCTGGTCATCCATTTCCTATTTATCCCCATGCTTAAGCTAGAGTTACTCCCAGCCAGAAATTATACTGGCTAATACTCATTTAGGTTACCTGCCTGACCTGGGTTGGCATTTAAATTTGCAACACCTGCTCAATTAACTTTTTTTTTTTTAATTTACTCTATTCTCCCTCAATTCGGGAAACAGTGATGTTACCTCTTTAACTGGGAGTTGTGTGCAGGGAGACTTGTTCATCTTTAATATCCTCTATCCAACCCTTCTCAAATGTTTTCTCCAAGAGAATTAAGGCCCACTGTCTCTTGTTTGAAATGAATTAACTTCTCTCCTATGCACCCAAAACAGTACCAGCTGTGTGTCATCCTTGGGAGAACAGAGAAAATAGTCACTGCTATGGTGTGAATGCTTATGTCTCCCCACCCAATTCATGGGTTGAAATCCTAATGCCTGATGTGATGGTATTAGAAGGTGGGACCTGTGGTTGGAATCAACCAGAAAGCACTGTCATTATAACTCCTTTTCTCCACAATCCCCCTAACCCGTTTCTCCCTCCCCAGGTGCCCACACCAGAAATCCGAGCCCACAACGTCTACCTGGATCTCTCTGCTTATGGGATTGAGTTCACTTCTGCAGTGAAGGAATCCCCAAGCTCTCATCAGGCAGTCAAACAGCCAGCTTTCCACCTAAAAATCTATGGAACCTTCCGCCACCGATACATTGCTTTGGCATGTCCAGCTTCTGATTCCAAAGTTGTTAGATTTCTCCGTCATACTCTCAGCTCCTCAGTAAGTACAGGGAGAATAGGGTAGGGAAGTATTTGTTTTTTATCATCTAAGAAACTCTATAGTACTTAAAACTTCACTTTGTGTGCTTTTGTTTTCAAATAAAGATTGTCATCAATACTGCTTTACATACAAATATGTAAATAGCTTTTATTGATTTCTAAAAAGCAGTTCTGTAACTCTAACCCAGAGATTTTTAAAAATGTTTCCAGGCACAATATTTGTAAATCAAGTAAATTGTCATATTCTTAGAGGACAAAATTTCAGAGATTTGAATGTAAACTTTCATTATTAATGATGTATTGCTGTGTAACAAATGACCCCCCAAATTAGTACCTTACAACCACATTTATGATGTCACCATGTCTGTGGGTCAGGAATTCACGTGTGGCTGAGCTGGTTTCCTCTCGCTCAGGCTCTCTCACAAGGCTACAGTCAAGGTGTTGGCCAGGCCTGCAGTCATCTCAAGGCTTAACTGGGGCCCTTGTGTGTGTGTGCATGTGGGTGTGAATCTGTTTTCAAGCTCACTCATGTGGCTCTTGCCAGGAGACACCAGATCTTTGCACATGGGCCTCTCTGTAAGGCAGCTTATAACATGGCAAATGGCTTCCCTCAGCGTGAGTGAGCAAGAGGGAGAGAGGCTGAACACCCAAGAGGGAAGCATAGTCTTCTTATGACCTAATATTGGAGTGACATCTCGTTTCTTCTGCCATAATGGATTCATTAGAAGAGAGTTGACCAATCAAGTCCACATTCAAGGGGTGGGTATTACACAATGGTGTGAATACCAGGAGATGGGGATCACTGGGAGCCATCTCAGAGGCGGCCTTTCATACCCTGTGAATGTTAAGTCAGAGATGTCCTTAACCAACACACAGCATTGCTGACTCTAGACTAAATAGTTCAAAAACATATTGGATTTTTTTTCTGGGCTTATTGTTTAGTTAACAAAAAAATGTTAGAATAAAATATATTTGGGAAATAAAAGGAAAAGGGAGGAAGGTAATTAGCCTTAATTCCCCCATATGCACACACTTTTATTTTTCCTTCAATTCTTATCCAAATCCATAAATATTTTTACATGGTTACAATTATCTTGTATAGTCTTTGGTGCACCATTTGTTTGTGTGTGTGAGGAAGATCAGCCCTGAGCTAACATCCATGCTAAGCCTCCTCTTTTTGCTGAGGAAGACAGGCCCTGAGCTAACATCTATTGCCAATCCTCCTCCTTTTTTTCCCCTTTTCTCCCCAAAGCCCCAGTAGATAGTTGTACGTCATAGCTGCACATCCCTCTAGTTGCTGTATGTGGGACGCGGCCACAGCATGGCTGGACAAGCGGTGTGTCGGTGCACGCCTGGATCCAAATCTGGCCGCCAGTGGCGGAGCGCGCGCACTCAACTGCTAAACCATGGGACCAGCCCCGCCCCATTTTTTTATACTTAGCATCATATCCTAAAGAATTATCCATGTTTCTAGAGACTCTTTATAATCACCATTTTAACATACTGGAGGTCCTTATTATCCTAAGATCATCTGCTGTCTTAAAGTGAGGGCTTAAGCCCTATTGAAAGTTAACCAAAGTTGTGTTATAAATGGAGGGAAAACTGTAGCTGTAAATTATGAGAATAAGTTTATTTTATGTGATATGTATTCAAATGTAGGCCGTAATAGCAACTTTGCTGAATCTTAGAATAAAAAAATGAATAAAATGTTCATTTTTTTTTTGAGGAGATGGTTAATTTTTCCTGCAAAATTATATGATCACATTATAGACCTTGCCCTTCACGACTGACTTGCACATAAGGAACATAAAGAAAGTCTCATCTGCAAAAATAAGATTCAAGAACTTCATGAATTTTTAATGGTGGCCTTTTTCTAGCCCTTCGATCCAAATATATTTTTTAAGTACCCACCATCATCCTTTATCCAAGTCAGCCGTTAACTGGTGTACTTCTGTGAGTTTCTTTGCCTGTAGTTGAAGCGGTTCTCTGAAATCACCCGCATTGATTTTATAAAAGCCCACACTTTTGGAACGATTTGCAATTCTGCTTTGCAATCAATTTGCATTGATTGTATTTGCGTTATAATGTTAGATGTTCACTACAGTTGACTATCAGTCAGACTAATCAAAAAGATATTGATGATGGGTGGGGATAAATTAGAAGTTACTGTAAATGGGGAAGAAATGTTTAAAGGGTGAGTATTTTTTAGGTGCTGAATTCATTATTGAACAATTTCATATCATGATTTTTTTTCTTCTGCATTACACCTCTCTCCCTTGGCTGACACTGTTTTGTTTGTTTGTTCTTGGTGAGGAAGATCAGCCCTGAGCTAACATCTGCCAATCCTCCTCTTTTTGTTTTTTTTGCTGAGGAGGACTGGCCCTGGGCTAACATCCATGCCCATCTTCCACCACTTTATATGGGACACCGCCACAGCATGGCTTGACAAGCGGTGCGTCGGTGCACACTTGGGATCTGAACCGACGAACCCCCGGCCGCCGCAGCAGAGCACACACACTTAACCGCTTGTGCCACTGGGCCGGCCCCATACATGCTATATATATATATTTTTTTTTTATAATTTTTATTTATTTATTTATTTTTCCCCCAAAGCCCCAGCAGATAGTTGTATGTCATAGTTGCACATCCTTCTAGTTGCTGTATGTGGGACGCGGCCTCAGCATGGCCGGAGAAGCGGTGCGTCTGTGAGCACCCGGGATCCGAACCTGGGCCGCCAGCAGCGGAGCGCGCGCACTTAACCACTAAGCCACCGGGCCGGCCCCATGCTGTATTTTTGATGCCAATATTTCTTCTAATGAATTTCCTCCTGTTGATGCTCACTGAGGATGGGTGGCAGGCATTCTTGGATGCCTATAAAACTTCTCTCCTCCTCATTCCGAGCATCAGCACCACACATCCACACACGCCCAGCTTCTTCCTTCCAATACAGTCATGACTGTGTTCACGGGACTGGAGACAGATGGAACTTGGTCCCTTCCATTCCTCAGGATGAATCTCATTTGTTCTAATCTGATAATCAGAATGCCATTCCCCTTGCTAATGATCAGTTCAAGGATAGGTGTGTGGCATACTTCTGGCCAATGAGGGGTGTCCTAGAAGATTCCCCTCATTCTTGAACAGGAGCACTAGAAAGGGACTTTCATTTTTTCTGCCTCTGGGTATTATCTTCTCATTTTGGAACTGTGGCAGCAATCTTGGAACCATGAACGGAGCCAGTGTAAGAAGACAAGCCAGTGCCCTGAGGAGAACAACAGAATGAAAAGATAAAAAGAACCTGAGTCTTTAAATTACCAGCAGTGAAACCACTCTAGAGCAGGTGTTCTGGTTACGAGAGATATTATTGTCCTAACTATATAAGCAGCTTCTAGTTGCAATTCATTAACGGCATCTGAGAGCATCCTTGGTCATGGAGTGTCTGCACTGTTTTAAGTTCTCTTTGCAGAGCAGTAATTCACTCAGCATGTATTTACTGAGTACCTGTTATGTGCTAGGCACTATGCTAAATTCTAAGGATATAGTAACGACTAAGACATGGTCCATGCCTAATGTTACTAACATTCTGTTGAGTGAAACAGATCTTAAATGACTAACTCCCTCAAAATAATATTTTTAACTAAAGGTAAGTGCTATAAGGAGACATATAGGGTGTTAAATGAACTATAACAAAGGTTCTAGTGGGCTGGGAAGGCTTCCTAGAGGAACCTATATTTGTGCTGAGACTTGAGGGACTAGGCTCAAGTATTAACTAGGGCCGGGAGGACAGCGGGCAATTTTGTAAGCAAGAACAGCATCTATGAAGGCATTTAGGTGGCCATAAACCACTGTGATTACAGGACAAAGAGAAAGGTTTGAGTGGCAGCAGCTGGGTTTGGAGAGAGGCAAGCAGGAGGAGCCAAATCATGTAGGCCAACATAGGCCATGTTTAGGATTTCAGTCCCATCCATCTGCTCTTCATCCTAGTACACCACTTAGAGTTGATCACAAAGAAGGCTACAATAGGAGAAACAGCTCTTGACTTATTGATGGCCACTATAAATCAGACCTTGGTTACTCCAGACAATTGAAAGAGATCTAGAGCATCATTGGTGTCAAAGGCTAAGAACTGATTCCATTTGGCCATATCCTACTAAAATGTGCTGTGTTTGACCCCGGTGTGCCTGCTGTTCAGAAAAGGCAAGCTCTTCCAAGGTCAGTTGAAACCCAAGTCTGCATGTGGGATGTTTGGCTTTCAACATGGAGAGACAGACTACATGCATTAAAAGACCATCTCTCTGGGTCATCTTGGTTTCCATCAGAGGAGCGAGCATGCATACCTTGTGAGGGGGCACTTGAGTGCAAACAATTGTGTAGTCTTCACAAAGTGGCCGCACCCAGAAGGACACTGATTGATCACACTGACTTAATGTCATCCAAGACCCGGGTTCTCTTCTGTTCATTTATCCTGCTAGCTTTAGTGTGTCAACAGTGTCTTCATCAAGCTCCCAAGACGGCTGCCTCCATTCTAAGCACTATGTCTTCACACCACAGTTCCAAGTGGAATGCAAGCTTTTTTTTCAAAGCCTCTCTCTTTTCAGGAAGGAAAATCTTCCCAGAAGCTCCCAGAAGACTTCCCATAGCATCTCACTGGCCAAAACTAGGTTACATGCTTACCCACTAACCAATCACGAGCAAAGAGAATGAGTTGCCTTGATTAATTTGGATAATGGGAGTTTAATTCCTGGGGCGGTGCACATTGCTGCCAGATAAATGCAGGGTTTATTTAGTAAGGAGGAGGGGAATAGCTGATGGCGGGTATCCCAGAGTCTGCACTAGCATGAATCCTAATTCCCCAGTGGAAACTCTTTACCTTTTACTTGCCAGTATCTTTGATAAAATGCATTTTCAGGTTATCCTCAAATTCCTCTTTTTTTTTTTTCCGTCTCGCTTTAACTTTTGGTGCTATAAAACAGAGATGTGGGGCCGGCTCTGTGGCTTAGCGGTTGGGTGCGCACATTCCGCTACTGGCGGCCCGGGTTCAGATCCCGGGCGCGCACCGACGCACCGCTTCTCCGGCCATGCTGGGGCCGTGTCCCGCATGCAGCAACTGGAGGGATGTGTAACTATGACATACGGCTATCTGCTGGGGCTTTGGGGAAGAAAAACAAGGAGGAGGATTGGCAATAGATGTTAGCTCAGAGCCCGTCTTCCTTGGCAAAAAGAGGAGGATTAGCACAGATGTTAGCTCAGGGCTGATCTCCCTCACTAGGAAAAAAAAAAAACAGAGATGTGTTCTTTATTGGGTGTGGGTGACTTTTTTTCCCCCTGAAATAATGTCTATAGGTGTCTACAGGAGAAAATTTCTCAAATCAGTCACCTCAAAATTTAATGGGCGTGTGCAGCTTGTCTCCCAGATAATCCATAAAATCTTTAAAACTCTGGGCCAAATTAATCCATACACAAGAAAAGTTAATTTAGGTGTCCTCTTCGACTAGGGTCTGCCAAAGAGAGTCTTAGATAGATTAAACCATTCTCAATATGCTGCTCCAATTTAATGAAAATCCATCTACCTTTATTTTTTTGTGTGATATGATAATAGAGAGAATTCCCTTGGGGTGGGAGTTGGGAATGAAATGGAATTGTGTGCAGGAGGCAGTAAGGCAGGTAGAAGAAATCTTTCAGTCTCAGCAGATTATAAATTCCTTAAAGGCAGGGATCATATCTTTAGAGGCATCTTAACATCATAATTAAGAGTTGGGGCCTATTTCAAAGGCAAGTTCTACCACTCACTGTGTCATCTTTGGAAAGTTGCTTACCCTCCCTGTGTCTCAGCTCATCTCAATAATAAGGACAGAAAAAGCAGCATACACGTCATAGGGTTGTTTCTTCGTAAGAAGGACAGTCAGAAACAAACAATTTTATTTATATAAAATTTACATAAAATCTTAATCTCTTTTGCACCATGGAGCACTTTGGCAGTCTGATAAATTTTACAGACCCCTTCTCAGGATTATGTTTTTAAAGGCATAAAATAAAATACATGGGTTGACAAAGAAAACTGACAGAATTGAAATACAGTTATCAAAATACTTTCAAAAAATTTGTGACATAGAATATATATACTTCTTTAATAATGCATGAAATAAGATCTAGTGACAGTTAATTTCAAAGAAGTGATAAGCATAAACAGTGCTTTGAGATTTCTGCAACAGCTATAATGTCATTTGAAAAATATCTATGGTTTTTGGGGCAGGCCCAGTGGCGCAGCGGTTAAGTGCTCGTGCTCTGCTCCAGCGGCCCGGGGTTCGCAGGTTTGGATCCTGGGCGTGCACGGGCATACCACTTGTTAAGCCATGCTGTGGCAGCGTCCCATATAAAGTGGAGGAAGATGGGCATGGATGTTAGCCCAGGGCCAATCTTCCTCAGCAAAAAAGAGGATTGGCATCGGTTGTTAGCTCAGGGCTAGTCCTCCTCAAACACACACAAAAAAATCTATGGTTTTTATTGGAGACAGTCATGGGTACTACCGTGAGTACATTCACAGTGGAGGGAAATCCTACATTTCAGTTAGAGGTTAATCAAAGTAGAGTTGTAATTTTTGTTTCAGCTCTCAGGTTAGGAACTAAATATAGATTCTACCTAAGCATTTTCTTTATTATTAACCCTTTACAAGCAAAATTTTAAATAACTGCATCAACACGCCGTCCCTCCACCAGCAGCGATTGTGAGAAATTTAATTTCCTGTTTTGTTGAAATCGTGTTGAGAAAGTGTTTTCATCAGTCTGTATGACGGATTTCCAGAAGCGGAGACCCAGGTTCTCAAGTCTCCTGCCCTCTCCTTGTAGATCATGAAGACCATCTTCCACCAAGTGTTCAACACCTACAAGATGGACATTGAGCCCCGTGTGAGGGACGCCGCTGTGTCCCGGGTGCAGTGCAGCAGAAGGCTCTTTGAGATCACGCTCTCCCACCGGCGGGCCACCGCTGCCTACATCCAGGGCGGAGGCAGGGTGGTCACTGTGGAGGGGGAGGCAGCTCGAGTACTCAACTTTGACATGGGTGAGCGGCTGTACAGGGCGGCTTCTGAGTATTTGTGTAGAGTGTTCCCATAAGCATGGAAGGGTGTGGGGGGAGGTGAGAGGGAGCAGGGACATAAGTAGCACAAGCAGGGTCAAGGGACTGTCTCCCTTCCCGGGCAGATTATAAATTCCTTAAGGGCAGGGACCGTGTCTTTGGAGGCAGTATGACATCGTGGTATGAGTTGGAGCACCAGCCCTCTGCCACCTGCTACTTCTTAGTACTTAACCCCTCTCAGCCTCTGTTTTCACAACTGTATAATGGGCATATTAATAGTATACTCCTCATCGGGTTGTTCAGTGAACAACAGAGTGAGATTCAATGAGTTAATGTGTCAAAGTGTGTAGTAAGAACTGAATAATATTGGTTATTATTTTCCATCTCTTTAACCCTGTAGAGGTTTTTCTTTGGCACAGAAAATGAACACGATAATTTCTTAATGATTTCAAGTTGATGCAAAAAACTGAAGAAAGTTCATTATCTGAGTAAACTACCTTTAGCACAACAGCTGATTCAGGTTGGTGCTGTAGATTAGGGCATAAGTCAGTAACTATCGGGGCAGATGATCTGGGTTCAAACCCAGGTCCCACTACTTATGATCTGTGATTAAATTAGGAAAGTTACTAGCGTTTCCCTACCTTACTGGCAAATTGGAGAATATAACAGCATTGATCTCTTAGGGTTTTTGTGATAATTAAATAATCCACATAAGGTTTTTAGCACAGTGAGTGCAACATATTATATGTTCCCAGTTTATGTTTACTATGCAGCAGCCTCTGTTCTAAGCACTTTGCAGGCATTATCTCATGTAATCTTTACTCATCCCCAAGAGGCAGGCATTAACATTAACCCCATTTTCTGGATGGGGAAACTGAGGTCTAATATGATTACCCAGCTAGTGGCAGAGCCAGACTTGCACAGAGGCATTAAGCATCCACTTATCCTGCCTCCAGCTAGATTGTAGGGCTGTTTTTAACAGTCATTAGAGATGTAGAAAGCCTCAGGGTTGAAGAGAAGGACAAAGATGAGAAGACTAGGAGAACATTCAAAAAAGGAGATTTGGAGCTTGAAAGAGGAAGGAAATAGATTATCCTCATGTTTTCAGTGGAAGAAACGCAGGTCAGAGTTAAGAATGTTACCCAAGCCCAGCTGGAAATAGGAGGTGAAATGAAGGTTCAAGTGCAGTTCTCTCAGACTCTCGGACCCTGACACCCTCACCTCCCCATAACCCCCCTCCATTTCTCACAAACACACACACACACTTTTTCCAGTGAGGAAAAGACTGAGTGCATCTCTCTCTGAACTTTATTGTAAGAATTCGATCATAGTTCCAAGTACGTTGTCATGAGGAAATGAGATGGCAGGGGAATGGCATTTTTGCCTATGATGCATTTTGTTTCTGCTAGGTCAAGACATGCTTTGTGGCCTAGAGGAGCTAAATCAGGCTGTTGAAATCCCCTGTCACTGCAAATATTCTCTTGATTTATGAAAAAATAATAAACGTGTGTTTAGATTAGCACAGCTACAAAATATATACATGGTGTGGGTCCTTTTTTTTTTCAATTGGCATTTTAGTGTGACCTTTAGATACAAGCCCCAGATAAAGCATTTGAAATAATAGCAATGGTAATAATGGTAATGAGAGAGCCACAATAATTACTGTCGTTTATTGAGTGCCTGCCCTGTGCTAGGCATTATATCACGAACTTTCTATTTATTATACATTTAATTTTCTCAAAAATATGAGGTCAGACTTCTGATTAGAGATAGTAGACTGGATACAAACATTTATAGCTACTTTCTCCTGAAAGCTCATTAAAATGACAAAGAGCAGTACTTTTTATTTTATTTTGGTAAATTAAGGACAAAGAGAGCAGGAGAGAAGACTGTAGAAAGAACACTTTGGAATCTGGAAAGCAAAAGAAGCATGTGTGGTGTAACTTCTTGGATTAGGTTTGGGTCAAGTGGCAGAACACCCCATTTAATAGAGGTTTAAACACATGAGGTTTGTTTCTCTCATATAAATATGGAATTGGGGAGTAAAGACGAGGCATGAGAGTTCCACACAGTTGTCAGGGATCTAGCCTCTTTGTAGCTTTCTTCAGCTTCCTGTGTGCCACCCTCATCTCATGGTCCAAGAAGGCCGCTTGAGCTCAGTGCATCACATCCGTTTTCAGCTGGCAGTAAGGAGGAAAGGTAGGTGAGATAGGCATGCACCTCACTTTAAAGACACTTTTTTTAGGTTTTTATCATGTGTCTTTCACCCAAGATATCAATCGCTATTAAAGATAGACATTATCTAGGTTTAGTAAGCTATTCTAATATGTATCTTTATGATTAACCAGAGCCTAGTGAACTGACATTTATTAAACAAATGCTGTACCTGAAATTTCCTCAACTTTGGAGTCTGAAATACCTAGCATTGTGCTAAGCACTCAGTAGGAATGCTGGATCCAGGATTAGCTGTGGGAATAACCACATCCTTGTGATTTGACTTCCTTAGTCTTGGCGTGCTGGTCAGCATAATGGAAGAGGGAGAGCCTTCTCTAATCGGTGGCTGAGATGTGAAGTGAGATGCTATGTATAAACCTGGGGCAGCATGAGTACCCGCCCGAACGTCAATCTCCTTTCATCCCTTCACCCTTCTGGGAGTTCCTAGGAGCACAGCACATTAGCAAAGAACAGCAAGGATCCTTCTTTTGAAAATGGTATTTTACAATTCACAAGTTCACACCATGATCTCTTTTGGAGTCTGTCATGTATACATGGATGGCCATGGTGAAGAGTCAGAGAAACGTCACTTCTGGTGCAGCACTGCCACTTTTCTGATTTGGAAGCAAGTTTTACCTCTCTAAGCCTCAATTTCCTCATCTGTAAAGTGGGGATAATAATTGTACCTCCCTCATGGGGTGGCTGGTGGAATTACATAGTTCCTAGTAAGTGCTTAGCACAGTGCTTGGAACATAGTCAGTACTCAATGAATGTTAGCTTTAATTATCCAGTGGGGACTATTAGCCTCATTAGATGAAAAAACTGAGGTTCAGGGAACCCACAATGACTATGTTAATAATTAATAACAGCAATAATCACTGAATGGGATCTTATTATATGCATTAACTCATGTCAGATTTACCTCACTCCCAAGAGGCAGGAATTAACTTTACTTGCATTTTCCTGATGGGGAAACTGAGGTCTAATGCAATCACCCTCATGTTGAGATACAGAAGGGGGAAACAGTGGCCGCCAATCCTTTGATGTTTAATAAGATTTGACTACTGTCTACGTGGGCAAAGGTCTATGCTGGACTTCGTACTGGGTGCTGAGGCCCCCAGGATGAGTGGAGCTGGACACAGTGTTTAATCTGATGGTTCTCACAGACAAGGAAGAGACAGACATAGCAGACAATTTCAATATTACATCCTAAATGCAATGCTAGAGGGAAGTATATGATTCTACCTATGTGAAGACAAAAGGAGGGTGTATTAATTATAGTAGTTAGTTATTGCTGCACAACAATTACCCCAAACTTAAAACAACAGATTTTTATTATCTCACGCAGTTTCTGAGGGTCAGGAATTCAGGAGTGGCTTAGCAGGGTCGTTCTGGCTCACAGTCTCCCATGAAGTTACATCAAAATGTCAAGACCACAGGCACCTGAAGGTTTGATCAGGGCTCAAGGAGCTGCTTCCAAGATGGGTCACTTGTGGCTAGCAAGATGATACTGGCTAGAGAGACCTCAGTTCCTCGCCCCGAGGGCCTGTCCACAGGGCTGCTTGAATGTCCTCATGTCATGGCAGCTGGTTTCCCCAGAGCAAGTGATCCAAGGGAGAGCAAGGAGGAAGCCACAATGTCTTTTATTGTGTAGCCTTGCAAGTCACATTCTATCCATTCCACCATATTTTATTTGTTAGATCAGCCCCATATAGTGTGGGAGGGGACTACAACAGAGCAGGAACACAGGTGGTGGGATTCTTGGAGGCTGGCTACCACAGAGGTCAATCAGCTCTGATGAGAATTCAAGGAAGACTTTCTGGAAGAGTTTTGCCAGCAACAGCTAACTTGAGAACAGGGATTCATAACCTCGGATCCATGGGCAGAACTTAAGGAGTCTGACCTTGGGTGGACAAAAATTGCTTCTGATTTTCACAAAACTGTGAGAGAAATTTAGCATTTCCTTCAATTAGGAATGCGGGAAACCAACACTGCTGGTATGAGCAGTACCTGAGACTTTGTCACCAGTAGAAGTTACAGACGTTTTCTTATCATATGACTGTTGTTGCAGATATCTTGAAATATTGTTTATGCTAATCACTACTTCAAAATTATGGTGATTGACCTGCCACTAGATCTTGATCTTTAATGCATGTTTAATGAAGGACAGGTATTATTACATTACAATTTTGTTTCTAATATTTAAATAATTCTGTTTCAATATGCTTGTCTTTGTGAGTCTACGCATTTTATTTTATACACTGAAAGAGGTTATTCTGAGAAAGGAACCATAGATGTCACTAGACTGCCAAGCAGATCTGTAGCACACACACAGGGTAGTGTAGAAGGAGAGTAGGAATCATACAGCTGAAGGCAGGAAAGGCATGTGACAGGTAGTGAGAACACCAGGGGGCCAGAGGCCGGCTTCCATATATGTGTATTACTAAGAGTCTCAAGTCCAAGAAGGTGAAGGAGTAGACGAGGCTGTAAACATAAACAGGGACCATTCACCAAAGATTTGGCTGCAGAACTTGAACTTGATACCATTGTGGTAGAAAAGGCCTGGGATAGGGGCAACCCAGCAAATGACTTATTTTTGTATTTATTCCTGCATTTAGTTAAAAAGTGTTTATATCCAAATTACACATTTCAAAGTATACACAGTGAAAGCCTTCCTCTCATTACTCACTGCTACTACTCTGGAATGTTCTCTAATGCAAAAGCCACCATGGTCACCACCAATGTATATTATCCTCAGGAAAAGATTTTCATGTCAGAGAGCGGCTGTTTAGATATGCGTTTTAAATAGCTCACTCTGATCAAGGTGCCCACTGAAGACAAGGCTTTATGCAGAAGCTGCAGGTGAGAGTGAGAGGCAAGGCTAGGGATGATAGGGAGAGTATGATATTCTTTACTTTCTAAAAGAATTCTTCACAGATCTACTGGGAGATTCCACAAGTGCAAATAAACACAGTTCATTCGGTTGACAAGTTCAGATTTCCTGTGCAAAACATGGGAGACAGTACAGCCAGGTGATTCAGAAAACAATACAGGCTTCAGAACTAAGAGAAGTGGGAGTGGTCATTTACCAAATCTCTGTTGTATTTGCTAATCTGAGCCTCAGTTATCTCTTCTGTAGAGTGGGGCTATTAATACCCACCTCTATGCATTTGTCACAGTAGTGTATATTATAATGCTCGGAAAAAGTTTCGTATAATTATGCATATGCTTTAAAGTCAGATCTAAAGTCAGAGTGGTGCTCCCTGGTTGAATTTTAAAGTTCTTACAGTCTGGTTCTAATCACCAATCACAACGATAATAGCTAACAGTTCATGATATACCATTCAATAGTAATAGCTGGCTTTGTGCCTGGCACGGTGCTGAGAGCTTTGTAGTCATCACTTCTTTTTTGCTTTTCTTTTCTTTATGTCCTCCTTTCTGGTACACTTACATGTGCACGTCTGGCAGGATCTGGGGTGAATCTTGGGTTCCAGGGCCTGGAGTCTTTGGAAGAATTCATTGGCAAGATCGCGACAGCCGTCGATCAGAGCGACATCCTGGAAGCTTTGGCTGCCAAAATAAGACACTCTAAACAGGTGGTGGAAGACTTTAAACAGAATGGACTCCTCGCCGCAATTTTTGAGTGACTGGGGGCAACACGACTGCTCCCCACAGGGTGATACTTCTCCCTGCAGGGGAGAAGGTAGCTAGTAATGAAGTTAGGCTGAAATAGAATTTCATGAACGTTGGCAAGTTAGCAATTTTCACTAAAGCTACATTGAAGCTTGGGGGCTTTACATATAAATTAAACGAATGAAGTTTCCAAACTCAAGGGTCTAATTTCCAGAAGTCACTGCAATAGATGTGATGTGCTCAGCAGGGGAGAGTGTCTACCTGTGGCTCAGGGGAAAATGTGCATTATTACTTAGTCCTGAGAACTTTCAGAATAAAACAGAATCACTTTCTCCTTCTGATGCTTCAGGGAATCAGTTCTTAGCCTATTATGGCTGCAAAGGTTTATAAGTTACCTAGTTTAGGAGCCCCCAATCTTTTAGATTTCTTGCAATAGAGAAAGGCTTTGTTTTGTGGTTTGTTTTTATTGTTATTTGTGCATTGCTTTTAGTGAGGTGGTTTATACGGAGATTGTCCACTTTATAATTGTGTCAAAGGATGTTTTAAAAATGAAATAAGCAAACAAAAAACAACACTCTGTTATCACTATCATTTCATAAAAGATAACATTTTAATGCTAAAAATGTAGGAAATAATATACATCATCTAAGAACTATTTTTGCCAGGAATCTAACAACGTTTCTAGACTCAATTCCAGGTTATAGGAGATACAGGGATAAAGGAAGAATTTAAAAAGTACCAGGAAGCAATAGTCAGAAAAATCAAGAAAATAGGGTAAGATGATTTTACCTGGATGACACTTCAGAATGTCAGTGTCATGAGGAAAAAAGGTGGGAGCACTGTTCTGGATTACATGAGACCAAAGAGACAAGCAAGCAAGCACAATGCATAAATCTTGAATGGCTCCTGGTTTGGGTTAGGGGGAAGCTATCAAAGACATTTTACAAATGTTAAACATAGAGTTACCATATGATCCAGCAATTCCACTCTTAGGCATATACCCATGAGAAATGAAAACATATATTCACATAAAAACTTGTATATGAATGTTCATAGCAGCATTTTTTTTTTATTGTGGTAACATTGGTTTATAACATTATATAAATTTTGGGTATACATCATTATATTTTGATTTCTGTGTAGTTTATATCATGTTCACCACCCAAAAACTAATTACAATCCATCACCATATACAAGTGCCTAATCACCCCTTTCACCCTCCTCCCTCCACCCCTTTCACTCCCCCTCCCTCTGGTAACCACCAATCTAATCTCTGTCTCTATGTGTTTGTTTGTTTTTGTTTTTATCTTCTATATATGAGTGAGATCATACGGTATTTGACTTTCTCCTTCTGACTTATTTCACTTAGTATAATACCCTCAAGGTCCATCCATGTTGTCACGAATGGCCAGATTTCATCCTCTTTTATGGCTGAGTAATATTCCATTATGTATATATACCACATTTTCTTTATCCATTTGTCCCTTGATGGGCACTTAGGTTGCCTCTAAGTCTTGGCTATTGTGAATAATTCTGCGATGAGCATAGGGGTGCATATATCTTTACTCATTTGTGTTTTCATGTTCTTTGGATAAATACCCAGCAGTGGAATAGCTGGGTTGTACGGTGGGTGGTTCTATTGTTAATTTTTTGAGGAATCTCCATACTGTTTTCCATAGAGGCTGCACCCGTGTATGAGAGTTCCCTTTTCTCCACATCCTCTCCAACACTTATTATTTTCTGTCTTGTTAATTGTAGCCATTCTGACAGGTGTAAGGTGATATCAAATTGTAGTTTTGATTTGCATTTCCCTGATAATTATTGATGTTGAACATCTTTGCACATGCCTGTTGGCCATCTGTATATTTTCTTTGGAGAAATGTCTGTTCAGATCTTTTGCCCATTTTTTAATTGGGTTGCTAGTTTTTTTGTTGTTGAGATATATGAATTCTTTATATATTTTGGATATTAACCCCTTATCAGATATATGGTTTGCAAATATCTTCTCCCAATTGTTAGGTTGTCTTTTCATTTTGTTGATGGTTTCCTTTGCTGTGCAGAAGCTTTTTAGTTTGATGTAGTCCCATTTGTTTATTTTCTTCTATTGTTTCCCTTGCCCAGTCAGACATGGTACTTCAAAATATGCCATAGCAGCATTATTTATAGCAGCCCAAAAGTGGAAACAGCCCAAACGTCCATCAACTGATGAATGGATAAATAAAATGTGGCATATTCATATAAAGGAATATTACTCAGACATAAAAAGGAGAAGTACTGATACATGCTACAATATGGATGACCCTAAAAAACATGCTAAATGAAAGAAGCCAGACACAAAGGACCACATGTTGCATAATTCTTTTGATAGGATATGCCCAGAATAGGCAAATCCATACAGACAGAAAGTAGATTAATGGTTGTCAGGGGCTGAAGGGAAGGGAGAATGAAGAATGATTGCTAATGGTTTCCATTTGGCTTGAGGAAAATATTCTAAAATTACATAGTAGTTACACAACTCTGTAAAAATATTAAAAACCATTGACTTTTACACTTTTAAAGGGTGGTGCATTTTATGGTAAGCAAATTCTATCTTAATTTAAAAAAATCCAAAATGACAGTTTGAGTATAAGTAGATGATGTAATGGAAATATTAATTTTCTTAGGTGTGACAATGATATTGGGGATATGGAAAAAAATGTCCTCATTCTTAGGAGACAGCTGTTGGAGTATTCAGGGGTCGACTGCCTTCATGTCAGCAATTCACTTTCAAATGGTTCAGCCCACACAACAGATTCTCTCTCTTTAAAGCAAATGTGGCAGAAATATATCAATTGTTACATCTAGGTGTGTGTGTGATCGTGGGGGGGTGGAGATAGACATTCATTGTACTCTTCTCTCAACTTTTCTGGATGTTTGAAAATTTCATAATAAAACATGTTGGGAAAAAGGAAAAAAATAGATCGCCAGAAAATAAAAGGACAGATGTCATCTCATAGAAAATAAAAGGATAGTAATATATTTAAGTGGAACATATTTAGCATTATGAAAAATTCATTTCTTTTATCTTATTTTTCTCACTTTCCCATGGAGGAGTGAAAACCTCTTGGCATCCATCTGAGGACCAGCACTGGGGACCCCCTGACCTGGAAAGGCAGCTCACAGGGCAGTTGGCTGAGAGCAGGAATCTGGGGCTAAGGCCCTTATTTGGATTCTAATCCCAGCTCCTGCTGGCTGTTGCTCACCCAGTGACCTTGGGCAAATTACTTAGATTCCTTGTGCTCCAGTTTCCTCATCTGTAAAAAGTGGACTGATAATAATGGAATAAGGAAAGTTAAGGGACTTGGCCACTGTCACACACAGCTTGTAAGTGACATTAGCTGAATTGGGTTCCAAAGATAAATTACAGGAAACCCTCCCCAAAACTCTCCCCATCTCTGCAGACCTATAGGTCTTAGTTCGAACGTCTTTTAGAACCTTCAAGCCAGAGTTCTTTGTGTGTCTGTTGGTTTTATCCTAATTGATTTCTGGCTACAGGGTGTGTTTCGTTTTTCTTGGTTTCTCTCAGAGACATAGCATAATTTTTTTCATTTGTGTGTTTGAATGAATAAGTAAAATACAAACGTACCTCCCTATGTAAGGCCACATTGACCAGAAAGAGTTTTGCCTCGACTCCTGTTCAATATTCTTCCTTATTGGTTACCTCCCATGAGAAGTTTATCAGAAGAGACAGGAAGCTTCCCAGGTCTCATTAGCATATTGAGTTTGGCATCAAAACATGAGGCTTAATTTCCCAAAGAATGATGACTTTAGTTGAAGCAGGTTTTGCAGAATTGTTGGCGTGTTTGTGCGCATGTAGGGGAGGGAAATGACCATCATTGCAGTAACGACAATGAACTAAAGAAACGTGGCTCCAGGAACGTTACACTCAAACTTGTGCCCACTGCACGTGTAAGGCCAAACTGCTTTCAGCAAAAGCTGATCAAATCTTGTCATCATAACGTCAGTTATTGCAGAAGTGAGCAATCAGTAAGAACAAATGTAGAAATCCTTCTCAGGAATTGGCTTTAGCCTTTAAAATCATGGGCAGACAGGGCCATCTGCTGTGTGGTTGTATTACCACACATTGAGATTTTTTATTTTAACTTCCTTACTAATCACAATGTGATTCAGTTGGCTTTACAAAAACAAACCATTCTTTAGGTTTTCTTAGGGTTACCTGTTGAGGACCCTGGCTCATTCCCAAATTTAAGGCTCCTCAAATCCATAATAATCTTATAAGCTAAACAGGGCTCTCCCTTTGATATATCCTTGTAAGACCAAAGTCAAAGCCACGTGCAAGCTCAAGTCCAAGAGAAGCAGAAACTACGACTAGAGGAAGCCAGTAAGGAGAGAGCAGAAAAATGTAGCATGTGAGCAAAGAGGAAGGAGCAAGAGACATGAAACCTACCAGAGAAAAAGAAATGGGCTGTCCTTGGGCTCTCTCAGGCCCCGATAACATCCTAATTTAGCTCAGGTGCACCCTGGTCATAAACTTTTGAAGAGCCTCTGTTGCTTGCAATCGAATAAGCAAAACTAAAACTGTGTCAGTTTTAATGAAGCCAAAAGACTATGAATCCTAGAATCTGGCATGCCTACTCTCATGAATCCCCAAATACCTGTTTGTCTCCTGTCTTTAACCTTCTGATAGGGGCCACAGATAAGATGTAGGGAGAGAGGAATAAAATGAGGTCATCATAACCATTTGGGACCATTATTTGTGTCTGGGCCACCCAGCCAGACTTCTGTCAGCCCATGTCTCTCACCTGCGGAGGGACTAGGAATTGGAGAGGCAGTGCCCTCAGACAGCCTTAGAGAACTTGGTGATCAGAACCAGCAGGGTCTGAGTACCACCTTGTGAATCTCTGGCCAGAAACGGGCTCTTCACTGCCTTAATTAAATCCATATCAGTGTTTGATTCATGAGTTAGTAATCACCTGACTCACTGTCATTGTGGATCAGTGGTTCTCGGCTAGGGGCAGAACTGGCAACATC